AGTTTCTGTCTCTCTCTCTCTCCCCCAACCCTTCCTTCTCTCTCCCTCTCTCTCACCTTTAGTGCCCCCATGCTCTTCCTTTTGTGCTGTGAATCTAGATCGAGGTTTCTCAGCCTTTGTACTATTAATACTTAGAGTCAAATAATTTTGCTGGGTGGGGGAGGGCCAGCCAGGGTGAGGAAGAGGGTTTAACAACGCCCCCATCTCTGCCCTCTAGAGCAGCCGTTCTCAACCTGTGGGTCGCAACCCACAGGAACTGTATTAAAGGGCCACGGCATTAGGAAGGTTGAAAACCACTGCTCTAGACATCCTAGCACCTTCCCCAATTGGGACAATCAAAAGGGTCTCCACACATTTCTGAATGTCCTCTGGGAAGCAAAACAGCCCCAGCTGAGGGTCACTGGTCTGGAATATGCCACCTTGTCCAACCTCAGGACATATCTTCAGGGCTGGCAAAGGGACAGCAGCTGTAATGGGAAGCTTCCTGCAGAGTCTCAGGCACTTTGTAGATCACCTTCCTCATTCCACTCACCTCCCAGGTCCCTGTGTCAGGACTAGTAGGCAAAATTCAACCCAGTGGCAAAATCTAAGGGGGTACTAAGAAATTCACTATTTAAGATAAATACATGTTACTGTAAACTTCGTTAATAATCAAAACTAACACAAAACATCCATGATGAACAAAATATCAGAATTTTAGCCAGAATAGCTCTAGCCAAACTTACTGTGGTTGAACGAGAGGCCCAGCAAGGGATGATCCTTGAATTGAGTCAACTCGGAGACATCCTCATAGGCAGAGTGTACTAGACCACTTAGTCCAGCCCAGCCCCTCCAGCACACAGGGCAGAAGGGAAAAGTAGCCCTAGGGTAGGAAGGCTGGACCCCTGCTCCTCCTCTGCTCTCCTAAGGGACCCACAAATGCGGAAGTAAGTGACAGGTCACTTCTGGGCCCGATTGCAGAGTAACGGCCTTGACCACTTATCTCCCAGGTCCAACGGACCAGATCATTTATCTACCTGACTGTGGGAGGATTAGCCAATTCCCAGGCCCAAAACCCTGGTTTCCAGATTTCAAGTATTGAAAACTCCCTAGTGCAAGATGGGGGAGAGTCAGTTGCCCTCATCCAGGGGCCCAGCCAAGAGCACTATTTCACTTGGCAGTTGGATTGATCAAGAGGGCTGGCTCCTCCTGTGAGCCACCACCACCAGCAACGCCCTTCCCCAGAGTCCTCTCACTGACCTCCCTCCCTAATCGACCATTCCCTCTCTTAGTTGACCCAGTTTCCTTGCACACAAACCCTGGGCAAGGACATTCCAATGACTTCCATGACCATGCCAATGACCACAACGATTTCTGTCTGATTTAAAAACAGAGATAACACTTTTGAAGATTCACCGTGGACCAGACATAATGCTTCATCAAAGTTGTTTGTAGTCATTATCCCACTTAATCCTCAAAAGTCATGCTACAAATTTGGTTTTGCTGTCACCTCTCATCTACATACGTACTGTAAAAGCTCAAGGTGGTTAAACAAGACCCAAGTTTATACAACTAGTAAGAAGTGGTGCTTTGGAAGTGACCTGTCTGACCCCCAAGTCCTTGCTGTGTTTGATACGCTCAGATGTGTTACCCAGACAATCTAGCCACTGATGCCAACATGGCTGAGGGTGGCCTTTATGCCAGGCACTGCTGAGACCTTTACTCAAGCTGATCTCATTAGGTGCTGTCATCGTCCCCAGTTTGCACATGGGAAGACTGAAACACAGAGGGACTGACCCGGAGGCCTGTGATTTCACTGTACATCACACTGCACTGCCTGTCAAGATGCCAAGACCCACCCTCTGCTTATGCAGAGGCTGGAAAGAATCTTGAGAGAAGACACAGAGTTTGAAACTGTTGTGAACATAAATGCAAACAGTAAGCCAAAGATTTTCAACCCTGAAGGCATAAGCATGAAAGGAACATGCTTTGAAGCAGATAGAGTCACATCCCAGCACTGGTCACACTGAGATGTTCACCAAGTCTCTGAGCAATGTGGATAATAATTATCGATCACAAGATGCCATCTGTGTAAGGTGCCTGTCACCACAGGGTGCTTTGCAGGTGCCCTGAAAGTGGTAACACTCATTGACGTTGTTACAAGCAACTATACGTTCACGAAGGCCAGCGTACTGTGTCTTGTCATATTTCCCCGGCTTCATGTAGAGGCATGGCAAGTTGCCCTATATGGGGTTTCCCCAGAAGCAGACCCTGAGACAAGAATTTGAGTGCACGTAGTTCATTTGGGAGCTGCACAGATACCAGGAGGGAGCTGAGAATTCATACAGGGAAGGGAAGGCAGCCAGTAAAATGTGTGCTGTAATGCCGGCTACCCCAGCAAGTCACTA